AATTACTTATCTGCAGTTTTAGATAATTCAAATCAAGTCATATGGTTTTGCCACATGCTGGTTACCTGGTGAATGTAAGTTCAAGTTCAATAGGTTGATGAGAGCTTTGAGAACTGTACAACCAAATCGCTGAGTTAAAAAGGGAAAACATTTATCAGGATTGTGTTAACCACAGACGTTATTTCAGGCTTCTAAACACAACCACGTAAAAAATACCTTTGCCTTCAAGACGAGGGTAAGCAATTGTTTTCCCGGGTTTAAGGACTTATTCCTTCACCACTTTATTCAATTATTTTAATATAAATATTTAGTAATCAGCTTTAAAGTAACAATTTACTCCGCATATTCCCAGTGTCAAAGCTCACCTGATCACTCTTGATTTCCCTCCCCTTTTTTTGTTAACCAGTAGTTGCTAGTGTTCTGTTGTTGTTGTTTTTAGATTTGTTGTCTTTGTATTTAGATGTCTCTTGAATTCAGTTCCAGGTAGTGAAAGCTTGGTTCCTAAAAAGTGTTTAGCTTGGCTCTCTGAAACCTGCCCAGTAAGTGAAACCTCATCTCTCCAGCCCTTTGCCAAAGATTGCCAGCAGTCAGCTGCTGAACTCCTCTCTCCCACCGCGCTCAGCAGCCACTTCTGGTGACAGCTTTCTTTATTCAGAATGAGTAGAAGCTTGGCAGACCAACCAGCGCTTTCATAGTAGTAAAATGTTATAATTTCACGTATGAGAATGGGCAATATGTCCAAAATCCTACCCTGATAGTTGTCATTTGTATATCTTAAAAATGACCAAAATTACAATTAACCATGTGTTTTGGTAATTCAATAAATAAATGGTCAACTTTAATTTAACGTATAGTAAAGCTTATTGTTGTATACTCCTAAATGTGTTTGCTATTTTATTTAAAACTTAAAAACGTATATATATATATTTCTAGCTACACTAACTATGTTTACATACTGTACATGCACACACATACTGTACAGAGTAATCAAATTAGGGCAATAGTTAAAGTTAATTCAAGGTATTGGCACATAGCAATAAAGCTGAATGATTGAATTCATGCGGAAAATCCTTGACACTGCTGTTCGAAATTAATATTCCCAATTTCTTCTTTTGGTTTATCAACAATTGGGTTCCAAGTAGACATTTTCACTTGCCTGATACCATTTTCAACTCCGTTTTCTATTTCAAAGTAGTAGATAAGTAGAATGTCGTATTTTCACACTTTCACATTTTATTTCCCTTGACTTCTCATTTGTGTTTCTATCTTATCCTGTTCTATAACTCTCTAGCAGCACATAGGTACATTTTTCTCATGACTTGAGGGTTTTCTAAAGAAAGAAAAGGACTACAGAGCATAATGTGCAGCCACCAGTCTGTAGCTCTGATAGTAGTGTATATTGGCCGGCTGCTACTTCGAAGTCCTTTGTGCGTCGGTAGCAAGAAAACAAATGCAGCATGTTGCCACAGTAGCTATGGTAACTACTGGTTACTACTGTGGTGGTGTTACTCCCACGGGCGTGATTTGCTGTTTGCACTTCACTCTTCACTGAGCTCGCCCACCAGGCTAGTCCGAGCTTGTTTCTCTGCGCTGCCCCGGGTCGCTGGCTGCGCCTCAGCTGTGGGGCTACAGAGAGGTGTAGCGGGAAGCAGCTGGCCTAAGGTCGGAGGTTAAACCAAGGCCAAGGTGGTGGTGCCTCGGGTTCAGAGACGCTTTCCAGGGTTCGCCAGTTCCAAAATATCGCTGATCCCCAATGAAAACACAGACCTCCATTTGAGATAATTTGGTGGTAACACATTATAATTCAATATAACACAACTATAATATATAATATTTAATCTAAAGGCGCTTTATAAATAAAGTTATCCACTTTAAATATAATCATAAAACATGATAAAGTTCTTTATAGTTATTATTAAGCTGAAATATTAAACTACCTTATTATATAACCTGGTCATAGTGTATGTGAATGTATATTATTTATTACTCATTAAAAGCATCCAAATACCAGTTGAGTAACTCCACATTTGTTCACAAATCACATTGTAATGCATTATGACCGTTTTTATAATGCATTGCTTACTATGGGAGTTATACACTATGATCCTTGCAAAAACCCTAAGTAACTTAGCAGCAATTCTAACCTTTAACCTTCCAAGTCATTATAAAATGCTTTATTATTTGTCATAATGATTGATATAAAGCATTGTGAATACTTAAGAGTACTTATAATTCAGATTATACACTGTGAAAAGCAGGTATTATAAGTAGTGCTTTATAAGTGTGCGGATAATGCATTATACACAGTGAAAGCTAATTGGTCAGGTGAACAGGTGATTCAGTGCAGCCCATCAACCAATCCAACCCATAATTGATCACAAAATAGCAATATTATAAACAAATACTAAAATATAAACAATTGGACAACGTAGATCACCACCTCTGATATTCATGGCCCTTACATCTTTTTGTCCGATTTCTCATCACCAACAAATACAAAAATTGATAATGGCTATTCCGAAAACCTTGCTCATGCCAGAGTGTTGATATTATACTGTTTCCTTTGGCATTGCACAGCCAAAAATACCCTCTGAACATACCATACAAAATACCCTCTGCTGCTGCAAAATTACAAAACCAACCAAGTGCATCTACCAAGCCTTTCTTTAGCTAGCTGACTTAGAGCAGGGCCTCTGTGCTATTAGCCTGGCTAGCAATAAGTGAACTGCCACAGCCGCCTGCCTGGCCTGTGTGTGTATGGCCAGCGGTGTGTGTTGGCCTGTCTCCAACACGCTGCCTGTCTGCCTTCTCCAGATCCATATGCTGAATTATTGATTAAGCCGTGGTCACAGAGAGAGAGATGCAGAGGGAGAAAGCGATCGAGACCCAGAAGGAGGGGAAGTTACATTGAGGGAAGTAGGTGCATTCGGAAGAGAAGGCAGGGTGCCGAGGAGGAAGGGAGAGGGAGTTATAGAGAGAAGAGGGGAGAGAGACAGATTAAAGAAATAGGAGCCTCCCTCACTGAACTCAACACGGATCAGCAACACCAGATACTTTTATTTATTCAGACTCTGGCTGCTGAGCATGTGAACAAGAGCCTCTCTCTGCCTCAGCTGCGACAGGAACACACTGTGCTCTCTGCCTGGCTTCACCTCCGACTGCCGGACTGTCCCATTATAGCCGGGGGAGACACACACTACACCGAGAGACAGAGAGGGGGGATTTGCTATTTGAGATGTCATAATAGTCAGGAGAGATTATTTTACATTTTTATATTTATCTCCTTGATTTTAGAATAGGGTGGAAGTTGGAGGTCCCAATAGGTTAAAAAAAAAGTTTGCCGTGCCTTGGTTGAGCATTAACTCAAGCATTAATAGTTTATCAGCAAACATGCTAGCTAGTACTAATTATGTCACTATCTGTCTCTACTGGATTGTATGTCATGCTCTTTGAGTTGCGTGATGTGGGCTTATGGTAAAGGATGCATGTATAACCAGCCATGCGCTGTCAATGCCTGTATATAGGCAGCAAGGGGCCCATTATGCATATCCTATATCCTATCATGTTATTATGTTGTGCCTCTACTGGGACATGTCTCCATGCTTTAATGTTCAAAAAGCTCTTTATTTGTCTCATACTGCCTGTGCTGCAGCACCTCTTTTCACCCTCTGTCTCAAACCAGAGCCCAGTCTGCTCTGATTGGTTAGCTAGCCGGCTGTGTTGTGATTGGTCAACCGCTTAGAGATGTCCCACCCCTTAACTGTACAATGAGTTGAAGAGCAAGCCAATAGAAGCGCAATTGTTACGTAGTGATGTCACTCTGTTACAGAAGTAAACGAAGGAATAGCAGTGGTAAATATTAAACCAATTATGACTCAAATCATATTTAAAATGTTAAGTACATTTTTTAGAACCATGGTTTCTGATCCACAAGAGTCAGTTAAAATAATGAACTGTTAAAGAAGGATTTGATATTAGGTCTGTTGAATACTGTTTGTAGGCCGGTACTTCTCTTCAGCACAACAATACTTCATGCAAAAGGATATTTTCACATATGTTGCCTTTACTAAATATTGCACTGCGATTGGAATAATGCACTAGTTCATTTTGCGATTTTGATGGTGCGTTACATATTTAATGGTGCTATTCCATGGAAGGGTTTGCTGTCATGATGCATACACTGTAGCATTGCTATTGTAAACTCATCCTGAAGTGCACTAGTTATACTGATCTGGTTTACTAGATTATAACATAGCTTTCATTGCTTTTCCGTTTGCCTAATCATGAAATTATGATTTAATTGAACTGTAACACTCAGGCTCAATTACTACATGGAAGGAAAGGATTTTGTAGTTGGCCCGGCAACATCTGTCAGGGGCTGGGAGCAACATTAGCTTGCACAAACAAACTATATATTTATAACAGGAAGCCTGCAGAGGAGCGTGAGCACTGATTTCTGGTTAAATGCTCCAATTCTACTCACTGGGGTTTGAAATGTGTCAAAAACTCCATGATCTCTGTAGGCTAATGCTATGAAGACATTTCAGATCAATTTGCACTTACCACTTTATGTACCACGCAGAAATAACATCAACTCTTGACAGTGTTAGCAGTTTAAGAGCTCATGATGTTCACTATGAAAGATTCTTGAAATAATGGAAGTTTATATTGAAGCTAATGTCCTCCTGAGAGACAGTGGGAAAAAAACACATAAAACACTTTAGAGCGCTTTGAATGAGTTATAGTAATGTAAAGTAGATAATGGATTAAAGTGGTATCAGTGTTTGGTAATGTGTTCCACAGTAAGCATAGTATATATTTCCAGTTTTCATAATAAAGGCCAAAAAGCTGGAAGTGTTAAAGTCAGTGATGCATGAATCATTCTGTCTTTGAAGCCCGTTTAATGCTTAGTGAAGCAAGGATAAATGTTGCTGTAGTGTAAGTATTGATCTGATTTTTGCTGATGAACTAATACTTGTGTGTCTTTGCTGTGGCTGCAGTCGATGCAGTCTTCCAGAGGCTCTCCCTCCCTGTGGCTGAGAAACCAGCAGCAGCAGCAGCATGTCCCGCGTCTCCTCCACCGCCAAGCGCTACACTGGCCCTTCCTACAGCAGCCACTACAGCTCCTACGGCTCCTCCCTGACCCCAGGCCTTAGCTCCTACAGCGACCGGTCCTCCTACAAGTCCCCCACCTCCTCTTCCTCCACCTACAAGTCCCCCATCTCCTCTTCCTCCACCTACAAGTCCCCCATCTCCTCTTCCTCCACCTACAAGTCCCCCATCTCCTCTTCCTCCACCTCCTCCTCAGGTTACTCCTCCTCCTCCAGCTATCTGAGCAGCTCGGCCGCCCGCAGCCGCAACTACAGCACCTCCTCAGAACCTGACCGGGGTCGCACCATCCCACGTACTGACATCCTTGGGAGCAGCAGCCTCAGCAGCAGCCTCAGCAGCCGCCGGAGCGAGAGCCTCAGCAGAACCCCCATCAAGAGCTACGGCGGGTCGGGTCTGAGCGGGGGGTCAGCGTACACCGGCTACAACTCTTACTCTTCTTCCTCGGCCCAGTCCAGCTACCTCTCTTCACCGTCGGCCTCCAGCATCTCACTCAATCGACGGAAATCCGTCTCCCAGACTGACTTGAACAGGGACCTGGCCTCTCTGGGCCTCAGTGATGCCTCCTCCTCTTCCTCCAGCCCGTCTTCTTCCAGCAGTGCCCTGCGGAGCTACCGCAGTCGGGCCACCGATGTGGCCAACTCGTATAGTGCGAGCTCCCGTATCGGCAACTCGGGCCTGTCGCGGAGCTCTACTCAGGAGGCCCTCTCGCGCAGCTCCACCCAGGAGGCCTTCAGCAGCAGCAGCAGCAGCAGCAGAGCATACAGCTCTTCATCATGGGAGCCGAGCAGCAACAGGGTGTCCGACTCCCCAACCAGGGACTCCACGGTAAGAGAATGTTCTTGGTGCTCATGCTGGCTTGAAGCTTGTTGATTTGATTGGGGTTCAATGCTGCAGATTGGATCAGTATCAAAGGGTTAAGTAAGGCCGAATGTAGCCGTAGCTGGGCACTCTGGGTCCTTTTCTTTAGTTTCACACACTTTGTAAAGCCCATCAATGTTTAAGGCGTCCAAGAGTACTGGATTTGACCAAATGGGGGCACTATTGTTCAAATTAAATGTAAAGCATTTGAAGTCCTGATATAATAACCTGACATGTCACTCTAATGCCCAAGTTTAGAGGGTTACTTTAAAAATGAAATCTGTTACAATAACTAGTTACCTAAATGTAATCTGAGTATCAAAATATAAAAGTAACCTGATTACTTTCTGTTACTATTGGATTACCTCAATATCCAATGTATCCAAATAAACACACAAAAAAGAACAATGTGACCTTAGAAAAGGAGAACACAAGATCAAAATGCTATTATTGATCGGAAAACCTGCCTTTCATGAAACATATTAAGGCAGTAGCCTATACACCAACAATGAAACACATGAGCACCAACTACAGTTAAAAAAAACAGAAATAAAATCTGAGCTGACAGAAAATGCTTCATTTTAGTTTAATACAGACATACAGAACAGAACATAGATTCACACTTAAAATATTAGGCTATAGAACAGTACAGTTTACAGAGAAGGAATCAAATCTGATCCTTTTACAAGAAACAATATGCTCTTTTTAGTTTTTTAGTCACTTTGTAATCCTCCTAGTAATCCCTAATTTATAGAAATGCAAAAGTAATCTGATTATGTCTTTTTTTAATGTAACTGTTAGGGAATACAGTTACAGATTACCTAACACTGTTAACTTTAATCCGTTACCAATACGTCCGAAGCCTACTGATTCAATTTTCTCTACAAGGCTATAATAATATAAAATATTGAATGAATTTTTCTTTCATTTTATTCAGATATAATTTTTTTCAGAATTTGTTTGCTATTGTTTGTTTATCTGCCTTTAGCTTAAGTATATTTATAGTTCATCACAATGCTTTAGTTTGAGTTTTTAGAGGTTTTTACAGTAGTAGTAGTTTCCACGTTTAGGAGACGTATCTGATCCCTACCCAGCAACTAGAAAGATGACACCTGTCAGATGGAGCTGCTAGGCTATGATTGGCTGGGTCTGTAGGCCACTAGTCTCATATCTGAGCTTTGTATTAATGACCCAGCTTCCTCTAGGCAGGTCAGAAAGCACAACTGACCCACTTCCTCTCAGGATAAGTCCAGATCACCGCTTACATGAGTGGAGGAGGAGGAGGAGGAGGAGGAGGAGGAGGGGGGAGGGGGGGGTATAGAGCAGGGGAGAGTGGAAGTTAAGATGAGTGGAGAAGAGAATTTGGGTTTGTTCTAAGTACCATTTATTGATCAGATGCACTTACTATTCATACTGTAGTGCAGTTATTATTGGTTGCCTCTCCTTAAGTATGTTGATGTGTAGCAGATTGAAGTAATGAGCCCAAGCTTCCGCTAACCAAGCCTTATTTCAGGGTTGGTCGCTAAAATAAAATAATCTTAACAAAGAACTTAATTGGGAGAAACGAACGAGAAACGATTTAATCAGCATAATTAATTAGATTCACCTGTGCAAGTTTACCTTGGGTGTGCTTTAAATCAAACAACCATCTGAAAATGTTACATAATTAGTTAGTACAGCGTTGGATGATGTTGGCCTCGTATGGTGTGTTGTTACTCTCAGGACTTACACAAACTGCTGTATGCACTCGAATGACTCGAGCATATGGAACTATATTAACTTACTGGTCTTGTGGTGGGCCTCCCTGCTGTCATGAGGTATACTTGATCAAATAAACCCCGCTGTACGTTTCCTCATCAGTCATGTGCTTCTATTCAGTTCTACAAGTCTGCAAACCACACCCCGTAAAACTCTGAAAAGTTTTGTGAAGCCGCCATTGTATTTGCTGGCATTAGCATTATTAGTATTAGCATTAGCCCCGCACACCAACGGAGAGAGAATAATTCTACTGAAGCCAGTCCCCAACTCCGGGGACTTCCGGCCGGGGACTTCGGGTGGCAGTATACGCCGTGAAGTGGTTTGCGGCCTGCCAGTAAACCCAAAGCAGAAGAAGAAGAAGTGACGTCAGCGGCTTCATTTCATGCTTCATTTGCGTAATCTTCCCTCAGGGAACTTATTCCGGTGTGAACGCGATCTGTACTTAGTTCCATGGGGGTACTAAGTGCTGGCACGTGCTGGGCACTAAGTACGGCAAAGTACTTGGTGTGAAAGCGGCTAATGAGACTTTTAGATATGCCTCTTAACCAGGGTTGGAGGGTTAATATACAGTAAATGTGTATTCTGCTACAATTAGACGACATTTAACTAAAGAAATCTAAATACAATATAAAAGTAATGTAACCTGACTTCTTTTGGACTACCTCCATATCAAATGCAATGCGAATAAATACAAGAGAAAATAAATATCATTAAGATTTTTACTTAAGTGTAGTATGTAAGATAACAGAACAATGTAACCTCAGAAAAAGAGAAAACAATATTTTAGATATTTAGAATTAAAAATAGGTTAAATTATAGGCTAGCTATATATAACTACCACAGAAAGGTATAGTTGACAATTGTTTCACTTTAATACATTAATTAAAAGCAAACACAGTATTCTTATTTAATAAATCAGTTGTCCACCTACTGCATTTAAAAAATATATATTTAAAATAAAGAAGAATGAAAGTAGGCTAAATGAAAACCGTCAACCTTTATTATATTGATATTTATTTAAAAATGTATTGTAACTTTGTAAACCTGCTAGTAATTCCCATTTTTATAAATGGACCCGTAATCTGATTACGTCTTAACCATGGACCATTAGCTAATCGAGTGGTGCAGGAATGAGTCCTCAAACCCAGAAATAACTTACAGTAGCATTTTACTACTTCCAGTTTGTCTCAAAGTCAAAGGGTTTTTGAACGTATTTGTAGTCAGAAATCTGCAATAAGGTCAGTGGTTAACACCAGCTGAAGAGATTTTCACGTTTTGTTCTACGATATAAAGATATGTCAGTAAATACCCCACTTGTGAAGGTCCGAAGCTAGTTATGTGTCATAAAAACGAGGGTTGCTAAAAAGTGACTGAAATATATTACAAAACGTCCTGCTGAAAAAAACGTGTGAAGTATCATTAACACGTGTTGGCCACGAAGCTTATTTTCTGCAATATACCGAAATCCAAATGGGGACAAGTTTAAGCTAGTTGTCTATTCTTATGAAATCCATCAGGTAATCAACACCTATCCATGGAGCACAGACTGAGTAGCTTTAACTGGATGTCCCCAGCTGGGCTGTTTGGTCCTGTTGATGGACCCCAGTCCCCTGTTAGCTCACTCCCTTTAATCCCCCTTTCGCACAGTGCAGGGCTTCTTCACTGATTGTTGGAGCTCTAATGGTACAATGGTCCTAGCACATCCACTCTATTCACAAAGCTCGCAGTCAGCAGATCTTGCATACAAACCAAGAGTATGGTATGTGTGACACACTTTGGGGGAAAATGTCAGGAAAGATTTTGTGACTGATGAGAGTCGAAATGACAACTTGACCACTCGGTGACCTCGCACCATGTCATTGTAGGTCAGCCATCCTCAGGCAACACAGCGGAGTGGTGCCCAACATTAGTTCTGCAACTATCAAATATTCTCACAACTGACATTTACAGTAATTAATTGCTATTTCAGAAAATAGACCTATGGTGACGAGGATTTTATGTTTGATATCATAAAAGACTAAAGAATACTCAACTTTGATTGGCTTAGGAATCTTCTCCATTTTATCTTAAAAGAGACTTAAAGATTAATCAATTAACAATAAAGTTGCTTACAAATTGCTTTTAACTCAGTAGAGTTCAAATTTCTTTAAGAAATATTATTTATTTGTGCTAAAATAAAATATATATATGATACAGTATATTTAATTATTTATTGAATAAGGAGAGTGTATATTAGTGACGTCGTTGCCATCCATTTTGACTGTTTACTGTTACAGATATTAGCAATTATTAAGCAAATCCTCAATTGAAGATGGACTTATAAACAGTTAAATATATGTTTTGGGGTTTTATATTCCTATGAATGTAAATCCAGGACTAATGCCAAATTAAATATCATAATTTCACCATATGGCGCGTTAAAGCTGTATGTATATATATCCCTGTACCACTTCCTGGCTCAGTGAAGTTTCCAGCGGGCCATTTCCAGCTGTGTTTTCTTTTTTGTTACAGGTGTTGAAATAAGTTAAAGGCAAAAAAAACAATTGAAATAATACGACGATGAGTTAACTACATCTAATGGCAAACCAAAACTGTTGCACTGTAGCCTAACTAACACTAGTTCTTATGTTGTTGTTGTTTTTGAATGTTTAAAGTCACGTATGCTCTCCTAAAATAGCTTTTGCAAAACAAGGTTAACCCATTTTCACAAGCTAACAACAGGAACATATAACAAAAATAGCAGCTGCTGGTGCCTCATCCTCCTGTTCATGGTGTGCCATGTTTCTGATGGCAAGCTGTCTGACATGACTATTATTCTTGTTCTGCCTGTTTCTCATGCATGATATTCTAATAGACCAGGACACATACAAAACAACAAACACATGTTTATGGCTTTACTTAGCATATCATTATGTATCTGTTTTTGGCATGCCTTTGTTAGCACGCCTTGTTACCTTGTATGCAGTATTTCAGTATCACGTTTTCCTCTCGTTCCACTTTCGAGCATCTCATTCATTTCTTTAATTTCGTCAAACTTATTGTCGAGTCAATAATATTTGGTCCGACTGTTGGTTCCCCACCTTAGTCAGAAAGGTCATGGTTGTTCTTTGTCAAATAGGGGCCGGTTCGTTAGTGACTTCGTTATTAATTTATACGTTATTATGAATTGACTTGATTGTGTTTGTCGGTCAGTGTGTGGCATTTCCTTC